TGCTAAAATGAAATTCAAAATTTTACGCAATAAATTAGAGAAAATTTTCTATCTCTTGATAACAAAAAGGAAAAAGTCATTAATAGTTTAATCATTTTGATTTTTAAATAATTTCCCCTCAATAATTTAATTGAAGTAAATATTTCAGTAAAATACTCATGGTTCCCTAAGAATTTAGAACATGATGATGATGTAACACAAAATTCATATTTTACATGAATTGTACAGACGCTAATTATATGGTATTGTTCAGAAACCAGTTGAATCGAAATATCAATTATAGATAATTGCAAAAAGATTCTGAAAATAGCACTAGAAGTGATAGAGCGTACAGTAATAATATTTAATGAACCATTAGACTTTAAATTATGTTCATCAAAAATCATTAAAATCATTTTCTTGCGCGTAATAGATCATTCTAAGACATTTTTACCCAAAAAAATTTATCTATTCATTCTGGGGTCAATATACTAATACAGTCAGAATAGAAAAACTTAAACTCAATTTTTTGGTGTCATTACGATCGTTCAGAATAATATTTTAGAATTCCTAAATCGTGAAATTTAAATTTTATCTTTTATATTCTAATTACATGAGTTATGATGTTCATTATAAAATATAAACGAGTCCAAAGTTTTTACTGAAATGTGATTTAATGTGTATCACATTAATGATGAAGGAAAATTAAATACGAATTATTTTGTTTACTGTCTTTAACAAAAATGAGTGCAATATCAGGAATAAATATATTTTTGCAAATATTAACTTTTTATATTTAATATAATTTTTTCCATTTCTTAATTCGATATATATTTCCATTGATATTGATTTAAGTAATGAGTATTTTCACCAGTATTAGCATTGCATTTCCTTTTTCTCTCTTAGTGTTGCCATTCATTACTAAATAAATCATTTTTAAATTTTAAGTCATGTCATAAAAAGATGTTCGAAGAGATGTAATAGCATATATGGACAGATTTATATACACAAAAAAATCTTGATAAGAAACTGAAAATCTTGTTCTGTCTTGACTTGTCTTGACTCAACTTTAAAATGAAATACAAATATTTAATTATATTTAGAATTTGACGAAACACTTCACATATAACATGTTTATCAAGTTAATTATTATGAAAAAATTATAAATGCAGTTGAAAGAATGATTTAAATGTCGAAAAATACGATGTACTGGAAGTTTACTATTATATCAAAATCGCGCGCGTTTAGCTTTCAAACTTGCACAAGAAGAAAGCCGCATTTAGAAGAAATAGTTTGAAAATTTAGAAAAAAAAATGGCGGCCTCACAACTACTATACTGTTCGAATTAATCGGGACAAGAATGTTTTTCTTCTCTGAGTTGGTATGTGATTATCAGTGATGTCTTGAATCCCCTCAAATCGGTTATATCTGCCTAGAGGTAATGTGATTGAGCAACCTTGACTATAAATTACTCGTTTGATTGGTTTTGGTGTATCAGTTGTCCAGTCGTGCACCTTTCAGTGGGGCAGTTGGTGGATATAACTTTGCTTTCCTTGTAACACGTGTTACTTTTACTTGTTCTGAGATGGATATTACTCTACGGAATCGTTCTAAAATAATACTCTTAACAAAAACACTTATATGACTGTGAGAGATATAGCTACGGTAGTCGGTGACGGAAAATGCTTCAAGAATTTTAAGAACATTTCAAGATGCCGGAATATTGTCTCCAAACAAGAAAGGAAAAAAATGTGGGCTCAAACTGAAAACTTCTCCAAGAACTGATAAAATTCTAATGAGGAATAGCAAAATAAGTTCAAGAAAGATAAGCAAAGACCTTCGAAGGATTATTGGACTGTGGTGTTGAAGTCAGCCCCTCAACTATGCGGAAAAGGCTTCTGAAAGTTAGCCGTAAGGCAACAAGACCGAGCAAAAAGCAATTTCCAGTTCAAAAAAAGGTGAAAAGCGTTTAGCACTGGCCAAAAAATACCGATCCCGGCCTGTAAACGACTAGAACAAGGTGATTTTCAGTGATGAAACAGATTTGTTTGTACAGAGTTGTAAATTAAGTGTAGTTAGATGAAGTGAAGATGAAACTATTCTACTAGATCATACCCAACAGGCTGTAAAACACCCTTTAAACAAATGTTTTGGGATTTTTTCACAACAAAGGGCACTAGAAGTTTAGTTCCTCTTAAAGCCAAGATGAATTCCGTCAAATACATATAAATATTACGCAGCAGAATTATTGCATTCATGGAAACATTTGATGGAACATTTCAACATGACTTAGCTTCTTGTCACAATTCGAAATTGGTCCAGACTTTTATGCGGGAAAATAAAATAAAAGTGCTTAATTGGCCTGGTAATTCACCAGACCTAAATCCTAATGAGAATTTATGGCATATTCTCAAGAATCGTTTAGCTAAGATGAGTTACACGACAACAGAACAAATGAGATAAAAAGGACTATAAAAATGTGGTTCCACGATGATGAAGTTAAGAACATGCGAGTTGCACTAGTGAAGTCATTACCAAGACGAGTTAAATAAGTCATTTTTGCTTCAGGAGGACATATTTCGTACTAATATAGAGGTTTTTCTGTCAAGGTATGTAATGATTAAAAGCTAGTTTTAGCAAAAATCGTTTTCTTACCGTTTTTTCCAATTAATTCGAACAGTATAGTAATATAAAATTCTGTGAATATTTTGATCCCCTTTTTCAGTCATTTCTTAGAAAGCTTACAAGTAATTGAAAGAAATGTATCAACTAATAGGCAAACAAAAACTGAAAATTTCGTGTTGATTTTTTAATCCAACAAGAGCTTAAACAGAATATCTTGATGATTATAATTTCTAAAATATAGCTCATTACTGCTAAGAGAGCTCTAAAAGTGATATATACAGACATCACACATACAAACCTTTTACACCGTATGTTATATAATAATAAAACCTGTCTTTTCTTAACAGATCACAAAATTGAATCAATGAAAAATTTTTTACGGTAGGAAAATGGTTCAAGAGATATGTGCCGTATACTGATATATTATAAACATACATACAACAGACTACTTATACGTGCACATAATACTTTTCGATCAATTTTGTTCGTTTCAGAAATTTTGACTTATTTATTTTGAACACTAGCCATTACCCACCCGATTTGCTGTATTTTCACTATATTGTATGACTATATATTCTTTTTAAAGTTATTTTTATTTAAGTATTCCTATCATTGAGCTTTTAATGCATAGAAAAATATTTCTATAAATTATTTTTCCTTGACTTAAAAAGTACAGGAGTTGAATTTTCCAAAACGGAAGTATATTTAATATATTTACGCTTCCGTAACCCCTTCTTCAAAACTCTCATTAACAAAAGCAACATGCTTGAAAAATTTCAAAAGTCTGTAGATCTAATAAATCAAAAACTAGACTTTTTATTGTCTCCGATGCCTTGTAAGCCAGACACCCTCTAGGAAGACGATTTCAGGAAAACCCGTTCTTAGCGGATCTCTACACAAGAGAAGAAAGATGTTTTCCAAATTTCAAGTCTGTCTAATCGTTTAAAAATAGTATTTTTAATCTATAACATCCTTACTGAACAAAGTAAGCATGATTGCCAAATTTCAAATCAAATAAATTTAAAAGAAAATAAAAACGTTCTTAACTTATTTTTACTGAACAGAAGGAAAATATTTGCCCAAGTTTGTAAATTTCTCTCTCTCTTCCCTCCTTCTTCTTGGTAAGATTTTCGTAAAACCCGTTCTTATTGGATCTCAACTGAACAAAGTAAGCATGATTGCCAAATTTCAAATCAAATAAATTTTAAAGAAAAGAAACGTTCTTAACTTATTTTTACTCAACAGAAGGAATACATTTGCCCAAGTTTGTAAATTTCTACCCTTCTTCCTCTTGGGAAGATTTTCGTAAAACCCGTTCTTATCGGATCTCTACTGAACAAAGTAAGCATGATTGCCAAATTTCGAATATCTGGATCTTATAACTCAAAACAGGAATTTTCGCCTATAACACCCTCCAGAAACCACCCTCTCCCCCACTTTCTATTCCTCACAAAATTCTAGTCAATAGAAGAAGAAACATGTTTGCCAAATTTCATATCTGTAGACCTAATAATTCCAGATATATATCTTGATAAACTGTGTATATATAGAAAGAGACAGTTTATAAAACTAAAACAATACAAGGCATTCATTAAAGGGGAAATGCATCTATTAAATACTTATTGAATTTAAGAACTCAAAAATGCTCATCAAAAAGTAATTGCCTTAAAAAGAATATTTTGTACAAGAAAATTAAAATTCTGAATAAAATGATTATCGTAAAAAATAATCTCTTTTACCCGTCCGAAAAAAAAAAGGCTTCAAGATCCCATTCTTTAATATTAAGCGAAAATACCCTAAAAACACCAAATTTCGAAAATAAGTATCAAATATCCATGCATGTTACAATACAAATGATTTGCTCCCAAAATGAGCATAAAAGATGGCATACTGTCAACCACAGCCCATGTGTCATCTTTGGCTCTGCCGTCTCCAAACCGTTCTGCATTTGTCAAGACGACAGCTGTTTCCAATGGCAGGTGGCATCAGACACAGAGCATTTCTTGTCAATAGGCTACAGCTACACGATCACGCGATTCTATTTTCACCATCTATTATGTCCTTGAATGTTCTTGAAAATTTGTTTTTATTACTTTAGTGTAAAAACAAGTCATAGAAAAGAAAACTAAAGTCAATTCCTACTTAGATCAACAAAGAAAATTTTTATTTTAGTTGCCTTTTATTAAATAGAAACAATTAATATAATATATATATATACATATGACAAAACCACAATATTAAGTGGCAAAATACAAAGCGATTTTCCTTGAAATTTTCCTTTATATGTATGATGTTGGACTATTATTTTTTTGTTTGGTACTATTTATTCATTAACTAAATTTAATTATTCCTATAAATTGTATAGTAAAAAGAAATCACATACTCAGAAATTAGGCCATCTCAGGTGGGATTCGAACTCACGACGTTTGGATTAGCAGTCCAACGCGTAATGCATTGCGCCACAGAGAAACTACGAGTGATTTTTCTTTTATATAGGTGATATATATAGTGTATAGTAGTGATATAGTGTATATAGTAATATATATAGTAGATTTTTATATATAGTAATTTTTCTTTATATTTCTTTTTTTATATTTTTCTTATTATATTATATTTCTTTTTATTCCTCAACTAAATTTAATGAATGAATTAACATTTGAAAAAACTGAATAAAAATCAAGTGTCATCCACTAAAAGTTTAAAAAAAATGTATTTGAACTTGAATGGATGAATAGAAAGTATTTTATTAACGATTGAAAATTAGAACAAGATTTATATATTAATATATATAGGGATAAAGTAAACTAATAGCACGAATTGAATAAAAAAAACACAGGATTGTAATAAAGTTTGTTTTACCAAGTAGAATTTATGATGGGATTTTTGAATTAATAAAAACCATAATAACACGGGAATATGCTTTTATTAAAAAAAAGTTCTTTAAACTGAAGTGGTATACAATAGAAAAGATAATGTACAATGTTGTTCTTATCTCCATTTTACAACAGATTCTTGAAAAGAACTATTACACTGTCATTAATTTAAAACACTGAAGTCTCAACGAGATCTTTCTTGTGTGTGTGTGTGTTTTTTTTGTAAAATCACAACAACGATATGATTCATTTAGGTTGGCCACCCCAGTTTTAATTTTTCATTCATGAAACATTAATTTTTATCATTCCTGAACAGTCGATATATATTGAGTTCGCACGATCATACAGAGCTACAAGTTAAAAATTCAACTCTTTGTCTCTTCCAAAACATTAAGTTCATAAAATCGATAGTATACTTTTAATATTGTGTTATATATAAATTAAACTTTAAATAACTTAATAACTTTAAATAAATTTGTAACTTTAATTTATTTTAAAGATAATGACTACGTTTGAAACCCTGATTTTGAAAAAGCGTAATAATGAGTAATTTTTTTTTTATATTTAATGTCACTTGAATTAGAATATACACATAAAATTGTTTCACAAGAACAGTATTAAAAAAAAAAAATATTCAAATTCCTTTTTTTTTATGCAAAAAATGGAAAAAGAATGACACATTTCAAAACATTCTCTTTTGTAAAAAATACTTCTGTAATAATAATATTCCACTTATATTTAGCTAAGACTTTTACACAGAGCCTGAACTAAAATATGAGATATGTAATTTAGAAGTGGATTTATTCGTATTTTAATATATTAGAGAATAGAGAAATTTTAGCAAAAAACACTAGTTATTATTTCAATTGATCATAATAAAGTGAATTTTCCCTTTACCTAATTGGGGCCTCTATGAGTTTAAGCCTACATAGGGGAAAAATATTATTTTTAAATATATGGGTAATTTTATGGGAAAATGGTTTTGAAAATGTCATTCTTTCTTCCTTTTTGCCAAATAATTTCTTTTAAATAATTTTTTTTTGTAATAATATTCTTACGACAATTTTACGTTTCTTCTCACACTATTAACATTATATATCAAGAACAAATATTCATTTTTACGCCTTTTTAAATCGAGACTCCGATCGCAGTCAGTAACCTGCTAGAATGAGGAAACAAAAAATATTCATAATTGTATTTCCTAACTTCAAAATTTAAATTCTTTCATCATAAATATATCCATTACTATCAGACAGACGTACTATTTATTTCGAGTGAATTTTTTAAAAACAAAAACTTCTATATCATCAAATTACATAAAAGTGGCGAATATACTTGAGTCAAAACCGCTCTTACTGAAGTAATAAAATTGCATTCAGCTGTTTTTCTTACAGGACAGAATAGAGAACTTACTTATACATTTTATATCAAACACATAAATATCTTCCCTTGAGTGCCATTAGAGTGAGTAGAATACATCATTCTGAATTGTTTTGTATATGTAAATAGAGTATATCTAGTTAAAGTAGGACTTCAAACCGATACGTTTCATTTATTTCTGCGGTTGAATTCCCCTGGCCACATTCCAAGGAAATATAAAATATATAGACAAGTGAAATAAATTACAATTTTCCCACATAAATTGCTTCTAAAAAAGGATGGTCTTTAAAAAACCACAAAAAATGTATTTAAAAAAATAGAGTTAATACAGCGTATCTCTTAAACTGTGAGGCACGAGCATATCGAAAAATCGAAAATAAAAGGTTATTTTAAAAAAATATTAATTTACTGAAAGGTAGCAAAACAGAACAAATTCTGACATTATAAAAAACAAAATACATATCTAAACTGATATAATAATAAATGTATCAATATTATTCAATGTATTTGACAATTAATTTATCAATACTAAATCAAGAACAAGTTTAATATTAACTATTGACTCCCATGCGCTTGTCTTGTAGAGCAGTTTTTCAAAGGAAAATTTAACATTAGATATTGATACTCTAAGGTCGTTCTCTATATTTAGCTGAGATCTTTATTTTGTCTTCAAAGTAACCACAGTAAAAAGTACAATTTCACAAAGGTAGGATGCTGGAAATGGATTATTTTACTTAAGAAATAAATAATTGAGGAGATAAATATTTAGTCAAATTAAAAATTATTTTGCAATCTGTTCCATTTTAAAAATTAGAACGGAAAAGTAACATAATACTTATCCTGTTAAATATATATATATAACTTACTTAAAATATCTATTACTTAAAAGTAATATATACAAAGTTTAATACTTAACTTGACCATTTGCACAGGTTATAATTGAGATCACATTATAGCTTTAGCGTCAAAGTATATTTTCACTGTATTCAATACATTGTTATTGCATAAAGGGGGGGGCGTAAAGAAAATTATAATTGAAAATTGGGTCGCAAATATTGAAAGTTTGAGAAGCACTGAGTTAATATCATTATAAATTTTTTTTTTCAAATTTAAACCCCTTTTATAAAAGAAAACTTGGGAAATTGAACACCAATGAGAGTTCATGAAACAAATATCGAATTAAAATGCCAAATTTATATATATAAACAAAGTCATCTTGTGAATTTTTTTAATATATGCAGAAGGTGCTCTATTTTTTTAAATCCATATCTGTTTAAATAGAAATTGCATAATCACTGCTGAACTATTATTACTATATTTAGCATTTAAGGATTATACCATCGACCAAATGCGTCAAATCAAAAAAGGTCACCAAATGCTATGGTATACAACAAATAGTGGGAATTATTCCTCGCATGTTCAAGCACTATTATAATAGTGATGACAGCATTTGGCGACATTTTTTGAAGTGGCGAAACCTTTGATTTGGAAAAATGGGTATATTATGTAAGTGCCATATATCTCATCATTTTATTCATCGACGTAATTTTTCTTATGCTAAGAAGACTCCTTTTATTTACTGTATTCTCTAAGAATTGAAGACGCAGTAATAGAACAACATTCATTTAAGACTCAAAAGACGTTCATCAGAAATGAAAAACGAAAAATCAAACTGCCAAAAACATTATTACCAATTTTGGAATAATCAAAAAGGCACATGCGTGGTAGACGTCATCCATTGTGCGCATGATCAAATTAACATCAATAGAAATTAACTTACGAGCACATCGATATGTATTAAAATGGACGTAATTCACGACAGCCACATGATAAATATAGGCACATGCTCTCCATTGAATTCGAAACGGGCATTGTTCTACTTGTAAAGTTTAAATAAAATTAAAATTTCGAATTGAGTAAGGATGTTCCAAATATTAAGATTCTTCGCACATTCTAAGTATTAAGATTCTTTATACACAAAAGTTTTTAAAATTTAAAAAAAATTCTCATATTATATGTGTATTTTTAAATGAAGTTCATTTTGTATAACTATGAGCGTTATTTTTGTTGACGAACAAGTACTTTTTGGAAGGAAGTTTCTGCTAAAAGCAAAAGTTGGCAACAGCAAAGAGCATGAATTGATTGGCTATAAGCCAGCGCTTCTCAAACTGTTGGGCGAAAAATCGAAAATAAAATATTTAAAATAATTATCAATTTACTGAAAGGAAGCATAATACATTCTGACATAATAAAAAATAAAATACATATTCACACACTTATACAATATACTTATAAAAATGCATCAGTACTGCACACTAAAAACAAGTTTAGAAAATTCTAGTGACTGCCATGGGTTTTGTCAGTTACAAAATTTAACGCTTATATTGATAACTTGTACGGTTTATAATTAAAATCATATATTAGCTTTAGCGTCGAAGTACATTATTATTGCACTCAATAAATTTTTATTGTAAGAGGGAGGCGAGGAAAGTTATGACTGTAAATTGGGTGGGAAACATTGAAAGTTTGAGAAGCACTGCTATAAACACTTGATTACATTTATCGTGTGACTATGACGTCAGAGGAATTTATGAACTGATTGTATCCTGTTAAGTAATTTTTAAACATTTAAATCTTTAATAATAAGCAATACAAATTTGACACAAGGATTCGGTATGCTAACTTAAAAGTGTTTTTTAAATGTTAAGTATTAATGTAACAAAACCATTGGTGTGAAAACATGAATACAACTTCGTATTTTCCAACTACAAAAGTACTTTTAAGTCAATTCTCAATGTTAAAACACTTTGAGATCATCCATTCTGCATATAAGGAGTTGTATTGCTAATTTGAATTAGCATAAATTCCAATAAGGCTGGATTCATAACGCATGGCACGCAGAGATTAAAACACTTTGAATTGCACGTGATAACTTTGAATTGCACGTGATAATTGCATTTAGCAAATCAGAGTTTGGATTAGTTACTGGCCTTTCTTTTCAGATCTCTCTCACATGCTTCACTAGCAATGGTTTTCATTACTTCGCCATTCTATCATTATATTCAGTTGATTGAGTACAATGCAGGAAAACAGACGACAGACAGGAAACAGATGACTATCAGTTAAGTTCTATTAAGAATTAGGCTTGCTTAATTTAAGCTTAAAAATCATGGGTGTGTGTGCCTAAAATATTTGTTGTTGCTAATGCTACACGAT